GGGGGGGGGACCCCGACGGGTGCAGGACCCCAGTCCCACAAGCACTCGGCACCCCGCGGCCTCCCCCGCAAGCCCCGGGGGGTGTGCGGGCCTGGCCCCGAGGGCTGGGGAAGCCTGGACAGGCCTGATCCTGCCCCAGGTTGCACGGCAGGCACCCCGGCGGGGAGCAGAGGCCCCCTCCCCGTCAGGAGACCCCAGCCCCGTCTGGGGAGCGATGAGGCTCCAGGGGTGGCTGGCTGGTGTCTGCAGCACCAGAGCTGCCCCCATGCCGTTCCCTGTGGCAGGGGGGCCAAGGCTGCCCCCACGAAGCTGGATGCAGATGTTTGGGGCCGCTCCCCAGCCAGCCCCCTACGTCACCTCGTCCTCCCAGCCCCAGGCACGAGCAGGCGCAGAGCGACGTTGTACCGTACTGTTTATTCTGGAAGTTACAGGGGGCCGGGGGCGGTCAGACCGACAGAAGGGGGTCAGGTGGAGGCATTAATTTAGCAACGAAAATGAACCGTTTCTTTCCTAGTGTCACTGGAGAAAGTGCCCATGTTAGGGGGCTGCGCCTGCCTCAGCTGGAGGTGCCACCCTGCGGGGGTGAGGCAATTTGGGTACAGGGGACCCATCCGAACCCTCCCCCCAGGATGCCGGCCACATGCATGCACACGCGCATACATGCACACGCTCCAGGCCCAGGCGCAGCCGCTGTTTGGTCCTTGGGGTGGGTCTGCCCCCCCCAAATAGCTTGTCGCCAACCTGAGGCCTCGTGGGATCAGGCCCAACACCCTCGGTTTGGATCTGCTGGTGGGGGGAACTCCAGCCCCCATGATTAGTGTTCAAGCCCCAGTCCGTCCGTCCCCACCCCAGGGTCTAGCTTGGCGCAGCTGGGAGCAGGGGGGCAGGAGTGTAGTGTGTGTCCCAGGGGTGGGGGGCAGCGTTTAGGAACGGAGTGCAAGAACTACCCCTCACCCCTCTGGCACCGGAGCCAAAGCCAAGGGCAAAACCCAGGAGGCCGGGACCCCAGCCCAACCTGCGAGGGAACCCAGGTGTCCAGGGCAGTGTCAGCAGCCCTCGTCCCAGCGGGACAGGGCAGGGTTTCTGCACAGGTCGGGCACCTGTGGAGAAGGTCAGCGGGGCGCCATGCCCAGCAGGGAGGGGCAGGGACTGCCGTGGGGCTGGCAGGAGGGGGCGAGGCAGGGTCCCACATCTGGCAGGGGAGCAGTGCTGGCCAGGGCAGCTGCCCCGAGGGGCCCAGGCCCCTGCTCACCCCGGAGCTGGGGCCCAGGCAGGGGCAAGTCAGACCTGGCCACGTCCCCCATGTTCACCACCGCGCCCAGCCTGCCTGGCCTGGGGCCAGAGGTCAGAGTTCAGGTCCATGGCGGCCCGGCCGGCAGGCAGCTGCTCACTGCTCCTCCAGCCACGAGGGCTTCTCCACTCCTGGGGTCTTGAGCTTGATGTTGAACTGCTTGAGGCTCTGCGCCAGCTGCTGCTGGTTGCCAGCGAAGTAGGCGGAGATGGCGTTATGGAAAAGCAGCAGCTGCTTGTGCATCACCTTGATCTGGGGGGCAAGGGGGGCAGGGGTCAGCCCCACAGCCCCCCCACAGCCGCCTAGCGCAGGGTCGAGGGCCTGGCCCCTGCTCTGGGCAGATAAGTGCCGCCCGGCCACCTCTGGGTTATTCCTGAGCTGACCGGGAGAAAGCCCTGCCTGCCCCCAGTGCAGCGTGGCAAGGCCCTGCAGGGCTGGTCCTGGCATAAGCATCGACACAGTCCAGTCCCCATCCGTAGCCTGGGCTGCATCAGCACCCATCGCTGCTGAGGAAGGGGAGAAAACCCCTGACCCCAGGAGCAAGAGGGGGAAACAATTCCCACCCCACCCCACGGGGCAGCAGCAAAGCCCAGAGATCAGGAAACACCCGCTGCCTCCGCTCTACACCCTGGGGCCAGCCAGTAGGACCCGCACCACCCCACGCTGCACAGCCCGAGCGCCCAGCGCCCCCCCCGCGGGTGGCCCCCCTGCCACGATCGGGCCGGGTGCAGCTCTGCCTCCACCTGCCCCTGCTCTGGGCACAGGGTCCTTGGGAGGTCCAAGGGCGCTCAGGGTGGGGGCTGCTCTGGGGCGTCCGACTGCCTCTTTTCACCGCACGCTCCAGGCGTCGCTGCAGCTCGACGCCCCCTTCCCCGCGCCTGTGCCGGC